GAGAGAGAGAGAGAGAGAGAGAGAGAGAGAGAGAGAGAGAGAGAGAAACGGGTTACAGCAGTACGATCTGCTGCAAATGTCCCGCTACCCTATCGTGTGTGTGCTTGGGACTCACCGCTCCAACTGCTACACAGCGGACAACACGGACAAATAGGCAACGACACCGGCTCCACTTGATTCCCGATTATCCGCGACACCGGGGTTTTCCCAAGAGGAAATGTTATTACCCGGCCTGGGCAAAGAGAATACGCGGAGAAACCTCCTAGCGATGACCGTATAAATACACATATACTCGCCGACAAGAATGAAGTAGCTGACAAACACAGAAGCAGTCTGTGTTAGAAGTCGGTAAGAAGTAGGATCTACGGCAACGACACCGCAAGCGCACGCGAACAGCCTCACGGTAAAAAAAACGTTCCCCGCAAGTTAAGTGCGACGTATATTTTGCAATTTGTACCGAAGCCAACCGTGGCACTACCAAAGATTGACATGTACAACGATGCAACCATGAGAGCAGTGGACATTTGCTCTTGCATCGCCCCCGTACGCAAGCGCACCTACCGTACACGACACAAGATAACACACCCCCTGGACCAATTTTCAAAGCTAGACTACTCCATGACGAAGAAGGTGCATAAACGAAACGATACGTTTTCGGAGAGCCCTCGACCAGACGGCTTCAACGCCGCCATTTTCGGCGCCGTGGCTCTTTCTGCTGTTGATTAATCGAGCAATGATAAAATCAGTCCAAGGGGTGTGTTATCTTGTGCCATTCAAGGTACCTCACGACCGAGAGCCTCCTACTATGTATTACTCGGAGAGAGGTTGAGTTCGATTGGCTTTGGTTGCGCGCAGGTTTATCTCACCTCGACGCCTCCTTGCTGTACAACTCCTCCGCAAGGGAAACGCCCCTCTGACGGAATTCCTCCCCCGCCTGCCAAGTAGCCCCCCAACAAAAGACAGCGATAGGCAGAAAGGGACACGCGTTTTGCTCGAGGTAAGCACGGGCAATGAGTGATAGTCCAACGTCATCTTCCTTCCACATAATTGGAAACGACCTTACAGTATGCACGGGCGGTATTCCTTTGTGGCGTGCGGCAATATTTTCGATTATTCACAATTCCAGCACGCCAAACTGGGTAGCACACCCCACCTATCCGTGACAAGGACGACGCAAAACTCACAGCATCCCGTACAAAAAGCTCTCCCTTTGCACTGCAGCAGTGTCTAACACATATACACTGGCAACCACGTGGAATCACAGCCCACGAAACACAATAAAACAAACGCTATGACCGAACAAAACAATACACCAAAAATCTGTCATCCCATGGATGTACCGAATAGTGCCAAATAAATGTCCGTAGCAATGGCAGCAAACAGCAACGCACCGCACCTGGCAGTACTCATCAGTGCGCGTTAGAATCCTTGTCGTGTGCCCCTGCAGCGGCTTGAGCGTATCCTGGAATGCCCACATGCGTTTTCGGAACATCGGGCTGTCCCTCGAATACTCCAAAGCCGCGTTGCGCCCGAGAGTCTTCGACCACGGCTCTGCTTGGCATACAACAATTCGCCAATGACTCAAGGGAGTGAGTGCCTCGAAACAAAGTACGCGCTACAAATAAACAACCTGAGCGCTAAGAGGCCTTTAGGCTCACAAACAGAAACCATAAACACAAATGCTCCCCCAATACTCCCAGGCTGAAGTCAAAAGTGGCGATACCTGGGTTCCTCGAAGGAGAAATAAGTACCGAGCCTCGTGCCGAGAAAAGGTTATAATGGTGCGCGTGTCACATTGTACGGATTACGACCAGGGGCTGTCGAACCGTAAACGACAGTACGAGGCAAGCGCATATCGTAGATGACACAAGATACCACACCCGTGTGATAACATTTTTGAAAGCCCAAAAGTTATCACACGGGTGTGGTACTCTGTAGGGGTTGTGATACCTTGCGTGACCCGTGTGATTAACTGCTCACAGAGGATTCCACCCAGCAGGGGGTGTGGTAGCAGGGTGTGTGATAAAAACGGGGTGTGATAATGTCACCCATGGAACGAACTGCGCCTACACGACCCCACCCACAGGGGGTGTGGTAACAAGGGGGTGTGGCAACAAGGGGGTGTGATAAAGATGGGGTGTGAAAATTTCACCCGTGGGAAGAAGTGCGCCCACACGACCCAGCCTACAGCGTGCGCGATAACAAGGGGTGTGATAAACATGGGGTTTGATAACGTTTCACCTATTGTCATCATGAAGTGCTCCCGATAATTCTGAGTTGCGGGTGGTGGCGTGTGGGCGTCAGCAGCACGGGCGGTGCCAGGCACAGCTGGTGTTATTGCGGAAGTGTCAGCAGTAGGTTCTGCTGCGCGGGCCTCGGCATCACGGGTGGTGACAGGCATACCGGGTGCTGCGGGAGTCTCAGGCGCCACAGAAAAAAATGAAGTAATTGGGCGTGGCGCTGCCGCTGGAGTCTGAGCCGCGATGCTTCGAGCAGTGTTGTGTGCTTCGTTCATCTCCACGGTGTTGTCGGTTGCCATAGCTGGAGTGCAGGGTCGGCGTGCGCGATGTGCGTGATTACGGACTACCACGCCGGTGTGACAGGGGGCTCCGTGGTATATATTGCGGCTCAGCTTAGGGGGTGTGGTATCTTCTGCGATCGTAAGATAAATCGATGATATTTTCCGGGACGCGAAAAATAATGACACGGGTGTGGTTTTCTGTAAAATTTCGTCAGGGCTGTGGTATCTTGTGTCACTTTGCCGAGTAACGCAATATTATCATGACATGTGCACTCGAATGTCAGGTTTCAGGGACACGTTGGTATAGACAAGAACAATCTCTCTTCATGAGTGGCAAATTATGCCATGTGCACAGCAGTTTTCTTGTTCCTTCAACTCGACAGAGAGAGAAAGCCGCCCACTCGAACGAACTGAACGGCTCCAGGTAATTCTGGTGGTGTTTCCTATGCTGATGGATATGGGGGGACGGAAACAGGGAGGTCAGCCTCTTTGCCTCTTGGGAAGCAGAACAATCCAACACGTCGTGTGCGTCTTGCAATTTTCGAAACGACCGCGCCAACTGGATGACCAACGAGTCTCAGCGTGGTTGGTTCCGTCCCATGTACTTTGGCACCAATCTACTGTCTACACACCTTCCCCTCGGGGTCATTGGAGCACACGAGACATTCCTCTTTGAATGCATTTTGTGTAATGAATGTCAACCATGCTGGATCGGTCTCGCTTTCACAGCGTGACCCGTGCATCTCGCATATAGACTGCAACAAGCAGTCGTCCACGGGGTATCGTACGCGTGTGTTAGTGTTATTGTTGTGGTGGTCTTCCCATCAAAAACCGTTCCGATCTCGCTCTACGTGCGTGCATGTTTCCAAACGGAACAATTGTGCTGGGGTATTGCCCGGGCACTATTGACTTAGTCTAGACTAAGGTAGTTGATGGTTGGTGGTGTTGCTTCGCAGGAGCGGAAACTGATTCCTGCCCCGTTGCCATGGTTTTTGTTGGGCGGGAAGATTCGCCGTTTGGTATCCCATGGTAGGAGGGGAAAAGGAGTTGGGAAGATTCCTGCCGGGGAAATGATTGATCAAAGAGTCTCTTTTCCCGGCAGGTCAGGGTACATTTCCAAAAACAGGGTACAGCTGCTGTAGTTGTTGAGAAAAGTAGTCACGGCAGGGTATATACCCGGTGCCTTTTCGGACGCACCGGGGTGAAATTGGGAGCTGACCAATGATAATAGTTTTTTTTTTTAAAAAGTGGGGCCCGTTAGGGGTGCGCTTTTTGTTTTGTTTTGCAAAAAAAAAGCTGTTTAGAGGGATCGTGTGTGGAGTCTGTGCGCACGAGAAAAAGAATATTTTTTTTTCATGCACAGGGGCGTGAAAATCTAGCCATGGTTGTCTGTCTGGTGTCTGGTGTTTGGTGTCTGTCTGGTGTCTGCGCGCCCTAAATACCCAGCAGACTCGAGCCCATTCCACCATCTCGGCACCAAATTGCAAACTAAAACTTGCGCACAACAAGTAATATTTTGCCCGAGCTTCTTGGAGAGAGGCAGATGACACCAACAACACACACAGATGCTGCTGCTATACACCACCATTGGTGTGATATGTACCGCTGTACGCCTCTACACTTTTGTGCGCGAAGTCTTGTTGCGCGACAAGTGCCTTCCGTGCTAGTCTGTCCCAGTTTACCCATCACACGTTTTTGAGTTGCCTCGATCAAAGCTCGAACAAAGAAAAATGAGCACACAGCAGTGCAGAGTGCAAAGAGACAGATTTTGTTTTTTTGCTGCTAGCCGATGACTACCGACACGACCCCCCCCACTTCTAGCTGATGATGGTGAATACCACCGTGACGCCCCTGACTCTAGAAGTCATGGGTTCGAGGCCGTGTTGAGGAGTCTATTGTTCCTAGACATCTTTTCTTTTTTTCTTTTTTTCGACCAGCAGGGGTGATGGCGCCCCCCATACCTCTGCTGCTGTGGAGCAAACGGCCCAATGGTAGCAACGCACGAGCCTACTGCAGGTACTTTTTTGCAACCACAAAAAACTATTCCACCTCCCGATCTAGTAGAACAGACCCCCTTTCGTCTATTGGGCTCTTACGCCGAAAAGGTTACAGAAACCAACGCGCCCCACCGCTGTGTGGAGTAGGCACGAGAGAAAAAGTCTGCCGCACGCACAATCATCAGGCACAGACCGTTATTGCGGAACAAATGGCGAGCGCCAACCACGCCACAGCAGTGCTTGTCTAAATACTCACCGGTGTAGTTGACGTTGCTAGGAGCCTCTCCATCGTGACTGCTGCTGCTGCTGCTGCTGCTGCTGCTGTCATCGCTATTTTTTCTCCCGGGCTGCTGCTGCTGTTGCTGCTGCTGCTGCTGCTGCCCATCAGTCCTCCCACCTGCTGCAGTGGCGGCGGCGGAAGCTCGGCCTCCTCTTTTCGTCTTCTTGAAGAACTCGAAGTAGTACTCCAGCTCCTCCTCCGTCTCTCGCAAGCGGTTCTCCAGCTCAAACACCCGGGACTTGAGCAGGTCCCGCTCTTCAACAACCTGCGTGAGGTTGAGTGTATCATCCTCAGCAGCAGTTTTGTCCGCACCGCCGCCGCCGCTGCTGCGGACACCTCTGCTGCTGCCGTTCGTTGCCTGTGATGTTGACTTGCCCGGTGGCACCGACATGTGTCGGGTTGGCTGCTTGATATTGCGCGCGACCTATGCGTTGCAGACCAATTAGTCGGGTTGTGAGCAGTGACCCCCCAGTGATGGGCAATGAAGCACAGAGAGCGGCAGCGTAGTGCTGACCTACCTAAGCGATGGAAAGCCCCGAGAGAGCCTGCTGCAACGAAAGTTGCCGCTCGGGTACCCGGGGCAACTTTACGCAGATGAAAGCTCGGCTACAAAGCTTGCCACCGCACGCCCGTGCTAGGAGATAAAATACATCAAATAGTTATACTCTTAGAGAGGGATACCAAGTAGCTGCGGGGGCGTGTGGCAGGGCTCACTGAACACCAAAAGATGAAGTTTGGTGGTACTGCTGTTCCTGCCCCCCATTTTTCGTAAACCCAAAAATTGTGAACCAAAAATATTGCTTGGAGACCCCGGGGCCAAAAGTATTTAATCCCCTCGAAAGGTGCGTTCGTTTTCGCTCGCTTGGCCTCGTGTTTGAGGAAGTGGCACCAGATACTACTGCAGCAGGCACGCGTTCATGGCAGAGGGGTGAGTGAGGTGATTGTAGAACTCGTGTGAGCTGCTGGCTTTGTTACGGTAGCGGAAAATTGTTGAGTCGATTGTTGTTCACCTACATAATCACATGTACCAGACTTGACCACCTTCGCACAAGCGAGATCAGCTCTTTCCACAGAGCGAACCTGTCCCCAGCCGCGTTGTTTCAGCTAGGCGCCAGCTCTTGACTGCACTTTTTCCAATACCGATTTAGCGGCAGCTTGCGCACAGCAAAATGTGTTAATCACTCCTCTTGTCGTCGTGCCTTTACGGGCATCTTATTGTTGTGTAAGTAGGTCCGGAGCACGCGCACGCACAGAATCTGTACTTGATGCCAAGGTTGTACAAAACGGTTACGGATCAAGAACGAGTGTTTGCTACATCAACTTATAAGCACCTAGCTGTTTTTGCGCTCCGCGATGTGGTCCATACACGGTTTGCTTCGTATCTCTTACGCCCGCCTTTCGCGCACAGTTCCGGTCACGAATGGGGGTGACGTTCAGCCCCACGCGTACATAGCTCTGCTTTGCAGTCATGTTGGAAGGATGGAGTGCACAGGGCGGGCCAGTTCAGAACTTGAACCTAGGAAACCATGGTAGGAAATAGATGGTGTATCAAACCACTTGGCAATAAGAACACGTGCTCTGTCCAAGAAGGTTACACTGAAACCCATACAGTCGCCGTGGGGATACAGTACTCCATAGATGAAAAAAAGGAACGAGCCTCAGTCAAAGTCAGATATTTTTTGGTGGCGTGTCTGTATGGCCTCCAAATTTATGGAACTCATGTTCGGGGTCGAGGTTCAATCTCTTGTGGTGTCACCACCGTCTAGCATAGCCAAGGAAAAAATATAGATTTTAGTGTAGGATCCACCTCTGAGCTGTTGTTCCTCTGTTTTTGCAACCCCGTTCATCATTTTTTGTCGCGAGAATGTGAGCCTCTGCTAGGAGAGGAGTGCGGTCCTCAATTGCGGGTCCATGCCGTATGCGTACAGCAGTAGCGATGCATGCATCTCGGTGTGGGATCGCACCTACCTCGTCCAACGTTACGCGCCTATTGTCGGCCACAGCACTTGCGTCACAACCTCTCTTCCTGCAAAATCCGCGCCTACTCTCAATCCTTGTGTTTAGGAGGTGATATCACAACGATACCGAACAACAGCAACAAACTGCGCAACCGCTGAGCTGCGCAGAAGATCAGAGATACCGTACAACTACGTTACTAGTCTGCCCCGAGCTTGAACCACGTCAACATCATGGCGAGCCGCGCGTACAACGTCTTGGACGGGATGGGGGAGGCCATGCTCGCTCTCGCGAGGAAACACTCCACTCCGCAGCAGTGGGCCGCCTGGCTTAAGGTGCGTCAACAAACACCAGCAGAGGTACCGGTACACCGCTGTGCCCGCACGCCAGGCCTGGTTGTACCACCGGATTAGTAAAGGCAGGACTGTACGTAGTCAGGCAGGGATTGACAATTGGGGCGCATGTTGAAGAGTTCGGGAGGGATTGACAATTGGGGCGCATGTTGAAGAGTTGGGCAGGGATTAACAATTGGGGCGCATGTTGAAGAGTTGGGTAGGAATTGACCATTGGGGCGCATGTTGAAGAGATGGGCAGGGATTGACAATTGGGGCGCATGTTGAAGAGATGGGCAGGGATTGACCATTGGGGCGCATGTTGGAGAGGTGAGGGCTTGCTCTTTCGCCTTGAGAGACTGTTCGGTATCGCACAGCCACTTCGTGTGGAAATTTATTCTGGAGTTCGGGAGCACCGTAGGTGAAAAGGGGGTCTGCTATAGGTACCTCCAGCCCCCCTCCGAAAGGTATCTTTGGTCAAAACTTGAATAAACCCACGCCTTCCGGTGCCGCATCGAATGCGTTCAATGCGGCATCGACATGCGCTCAACGATCACTGCCTGTGTGTGTGCCTGCTCGGATACCTTCAACCCATGTGTCGTTATTCTTTTCCCTGAGCATCGCTACTGCTGTAGCGCTACCGTTGCCTCATGACGCGTGCCGTTCTTTCAACGCCCTACGCAGTAGCAGTATCTGTATCTGTTTACCCCTGTCTTCTGTCGGTCGTGGGCATCCTTAACCACTCTCCAACCTTCCCTGGACTGCATGGATTTCTCTCACTGGGGTTGCGACAGGTAGAGGTTGAAATAGCCGTTCAACAAGATTTTTTTGTTTCTGCTCACAAAATTCTCATCATGAGGATAACTTTTTTCTGCCCTTAACAGTCTCTTACTACATGTTTCTGCTTTTTCACGTAGATGCCTCTCAATCCAGCCGACCCCGCATTGAGGACACCCATGTGTTTGTGTTGTTCAAAGTGTCCGGAATGCGGGGAAGTGTCCTTGAGGCCGGTACCCCCCCCCCTCTGTTTTCTATGTCTGTGGGGCGCTCTGCTTCTGAGATGGTTTTTGTCCTTTCAAGCGGGCAGTGTCATATGGGTGTCCTTATTTTACGCGGGGGCAATTGTTTGTGTTTCTGCTCCCAGGTGCCTCTTCAAGGGGCCTGTCGTGAAGGGGACATAGACATGGTGTCCACGCTGCTTAAGGCCGGCGCGGCGAGCTCTGGCGAGCGGGAAAGGGATGGGGAGACGCCCCTCCACGCGGCGGCGGAGGGAGGAAGGTGCGCGTAGTTTTATCCCGGGTACTGGCGGGTGTTAACGCACGCTCCGTTCTTCCACCCACTGGTGGTGCAGGGGGGGGGTATACTCATGGTCGTGCATGCCGTAGTCGTTTGACCATTGACCTCGCATCCCTACAAAGCCGGGATGGAGTACGCCGGGTTCTCACCGGACCAGGCTCTCACGTCACCAAGAGCGAAGCGCCGTGAGGTATTCGACGAGTCGCATAGAAGGTGCGCTGCATCCTGGTAAGGTTGTGCAGGGGAGGGAGAACAATATGCACTCGCACGTTGAGTATATTTTGAGGCACGTATGCTGGTATTTGCGGTTCAGGCTCTGTTCATTTGTTGCGGTGGTGCAGAAGAAAGGCAAGTTTTTTTCCGTAGGGTACTGCCGTAGCTGCTGTCGGCTCTTGTTGCGTTTTTTTTCGCATAATGACCGATGCGCGTGCCCTCTAACGTAGCCGCAACCGGTGCTCCCGAGCTGATCAACTGGATAATGGGCGAGTTCCATGCCCCCTCGCTCGCACGAGTATGGCGTAAAGAAAAACGTATTATGTTTGTGACCTCAGGTTGGAGTAAACGACACAAGTGCTGTGAGCGCCGATTTGAAGTCAAGACAACAAATAATTAACTCTCTCAAGGTGCACTGGTGCTTGTGTCGGTACTGAAGCGGGACATAAAATATTTCCGACATTGCTGGTGAATGGCTAGTACGCGGCTGTTGCTTTTCCAATCTACAGCGGCGGCGTGTTCGATTGGGTTTCCCGCCCTCATTTTCATTGTCGAAACCTCCCCGTGCTGTAAAATGTTGTCACACATACGTGCGTGCTAGTATTTGTTGCCCTGAACAGCGCTGTATCTGTTGAAAGCAACTTTCTTCACAGCAGTTTTACGTGGCACAAGTTGGCGTATTGCCTGCTTGTCACGCTGCCTTGATTCTAGGCAGACAGCATCGACAAATAGACCGTTTCTCGGTTCCCACCAATACAGCTTTGCTTAGGAGTCCACGCGCCAAAGAGTTGCCCAGCTTTTATCGCGATGAAGGTTGAGGGCAAGCAGCTCAAGGGAACCTCCTTGATAGTGACCCCATGCTGGTACAATGAGTCTCCCTGTTTAGCTCCTGTTGACTTGTGCCAATGCCCGGTACAGAGCCAGTGTTTTCGGCGGGCACACACTGAGTTCCCAATTCATTGTCATCACTTTGAATAATGCCGGTTCGGAACAGTGCGGTTAAATTTTCTAGGCACATACTGGCACTAAACCGGGACCCCCACTGTAACGCGAAACCAGCACGACACGCTTAGTCCAGGCGATGGGATGGGAAGCCTCGACACCACGCACACCGTCTACTTTTCCTCGTCGATAGCAGCGTCTTATGCCCTTGCCGCTGGAGCGATCTCCCCATGCATTTTTCTGAAACGACTGTTCGTTGCCCCCATCTCTTTTGGACCCATTTGGCCGACACAATAGCCTGGACGTAGTAATGGCGTTGCTCAGGGAAGGCCGAGCGAGACGGGACGTGAACAAGGTCACGCGCTGGCTTCACCATACGCCGCTGTACTGCGCCGCGTTGCACGGGCACGCGGATATTGCCCTGGCGCTGTTGAGGGCGGGGGCAGATGTTGACCTTCCGGACACCCACGGTAAGAGGTTGGACTGCCGTTCTCGCCGATGTTGCGTCTTGTTCGTTTTGGTGACGACGTCGTCGTTGTCACTGTTCTTGTTGATGGCTGTTTTTTCTGCTGCTGCCGCTGCTTGCTGCTGTTGTTGTTCAGGGCAATAGTGGTGGCTTCTGCTGTCGCCGTGTTGCGGCGGTTGTTTTTCACGGCAATAGTGGTGTCGCGTTCCGCCAAGTAGCGTTGTTCTGGCGCTGTTGTTGCGGGCGTTCGCGGTGTCGTGGGCGTTTGTGGTGGTGTCGTCGTCGTCGTCGTCGTCGTCGTCGTCGTCGTCGTCGTCGTCGTCGTCGTCGTCGTCGTCGTCGTCGTCGCCGTTTACATTATTTTCGCACGTTGGATTTGTCGTCATCACAGCACGCCGTTGCTTCCTGTGCTGTTGCTGCTACACTTGAAATTGAGTCGGATCTCTGCCGCACGCTGTGTTGGTCCAAATGATCAAAAACAGAGGCTACCAAGATTGTCCCAGCCCGTTGA